TTGCAGCCGAAAGGAAAGAAGGCCAAGGGCAAGAAGGTGGCCCCGGCCCCTGCTGTAGTCAAGAAGCAGGAGGCTAAGAAAGTCGTCAATCCCCTCTTTGAGAAGAGGCCCAAGAACTTTGGCATTGGTGAGTAATTGGGATATTTGGGATGTTTGCTCCACTTTGTTTTATGGACAGATGTCTAAATTATAAACAAATCAATGCTGTAGAGTGGAGAGGGTGATGGAGGCAGTTACCTTGCTGCTTGGAGTTTGCTGCTGTCCTTCATGTGAAAGTGGTGTTGGACAATTTGCCCGACTTCCCTTATTGCTTGTCCTAATGGATACATTATATGCTCCTTTTGGAGTGAATCTTGCCCTTTTGCCTGTGTTTGTGGCAAATAATTCAGCCCTGTGCAGTGCCACTTTTGTACGGGGTGCAGATGATGTGAAAGAATATTTGCTATCTGAGTGGCTGTGCTGACACATCACCACCAAGATCACTGATGCCCCTGTGCTGCCCCCTGCTATTGCTGCTGTGGGTTTGGGGCAGCTCTGAGCTGAGGGCTGTGTTTTTTAGGACAGGACATCCAGCCAAAGCGGGACCTCACTCGGTTTGTGAAATGGCCCCGGTACATCCGGCTGCAGCGCCAGAGATCCATCCTCTACAAACGCCTCAAGGTGCCTCCTGCCATTAACCAGTTCACCCAGGCCCTGGACCGCCAGACAGGTAAGGATGTACCTCACATCTTTGAGTTTAAATGGGATGTGCCTCAGGGAAGGGGAGAGAAACTGAAATCTGGAGCATGTCTGTTTAGGGAGGCTCTAACAGTGATAGAGAGTTGGTGTGTGAATTTGCTGCCTTAAGCCTTGATTGCTGCTGTGTACCCTGAAAAGGGTGTTAGAAAACAACAAAGCTGCTACTTACTGACCCAAACCCTGGTTATCTAACTGTGTTTCCATCAGAGTCCATTCTTCCAGCTTGAATCTCCCAGGGTTCTTCTAATTGTGTAAACACACTGAGAAACCTGTAGGAGGAAAACCAGCCTGGCATTGAAATGAAGGAAGAAGGAACTTCAGGATCTTCTTTGAATGAGTAAAAGTCTTTTCCAGGTGACAGTGTCTATGCAAGAAAACTTGGATCTGTGTAGAGTAACTGCCTTCTCATAGATGTTGCCAAACAAGTTTCTTGCTTTAAAGAGGACAGTGCATCACCCCTAACCATAACTGCTGTGGGGCTCCACAGGCATTTCCTCATCCAGACAGTGAAGGAGCTCTCACAGCCATCAGAGGTGCACTTAGAGGTAAATAGGGGCTCTGAAGGTGCTCTTCTCTTGGACTGTGCAAATGATGATCACTTTTTGCTGCTAAACACACGTGATGACAAACCACCAAGATCGCTGATGCACTTCAGTGTTTTAAAAAGTGATGCTTGGATTCTCAGGTTGTGCAACTAATGAGTAGATGTTCTCTTGCAGCCACACAGCTCCTGAAGCTGGCACACAAATACAGGCCAGAAAATAAGCAAGAGAAGAAGCAGAGGCTCCTGGCACGTGCTGAGCAGAAGGCTGCAGGAAAGGGAGATGCTCCAACTAAGAGGCCACCCGTCCTCCGAGCAGGTGACTGTGTGCCTGAATTGGCTGATGGCAAACAAGGAGTGTGGTGCTTGGTTAGACAGAAAACTGATAAACAGGCTTGGACAAGCTATTGCAATGATGTATGAATTTCTTCACCTGAGCTCAAAGTGAAGAGCAAAAAAGACGAGCTTTTTAACCCTGAGCTTTAGCAAATTGTCCATGAAATGTCTTTGTGCTGCTGATGTGGAAAGTTTTCATGACTTCCATGATGAGGCTGCGCTATGGAACCTGAGCTGGTTGTGTGAGGCTTTTATGAAAGCTCTGAAAATAGACTGAGCAGAATCAAAGCTTATCTATAACTTGTTTTTCAGGTATTAACAGTGTCACAACTCTGGTGGAGAACAAGAAAGCTCAGCTTGTAGTTATTGCCCACGATGTAGACCCCATTGAGGTGAGCATGGTACAGGCTACCCGTGGAACTTTAGGTGGGGTCAGAAGTGGTCTTGGGGTGAAAGTGCATTTTAGGACAAATACTGCATGAAAGAGAATGCATAAAAATACACATTTACCATAACTGGGATGCTTATGCATATTCGTAGTCGGTGTCACAGTGAGGCTGGGCCCTTGCAATGATGTTTTGAATTTCTTCACCTGAACCAGCAGTGAAGAGCAAAACGAGCTTTTTAACACTGAGCAGTTGGCCACAGCCCAGGCTGATGCCAAGGGTGAAAAGATGTTCTCCCTCGGTTACACAGCACAATTCCCTTTCCTTCTCAGCTGGTGGTGTTCCTGCCAGCCCTGTGCCGCAAGATGGGAGTGCCCTACTGCATCATCAAGGGCAAAGCCAGGCTGGGCAGACTGGTCCACAGGAAGACTTGTACCTCGGTTGCCTTCACCCAGGTTAACCCGTAAGTAGTAGCAAACTTGGGTCTCTCTAAAATGAAATAACACCTTTTTAATGTCTAATAAAAATGTGTCAGCTGGATCCTGAAGCTGCAGGTTATTTTGGGTTACCAAAATGGATCATTACGCTAAAATATGTGTGTGGAACTGTTAGCCTTAATCTGAGCAGTGGAGATTCTAAAGTATTGATGGGTTGGAGTGTTAACCCTTTGCAAGTGATGCTTATGATTAACCTGAAAAACTGGGTTTGCCACTAGAAGTTCTCAAATCCTGTGGCTAAATATTTATGGAAAACGTTAAATCAAGGCTCTAAAAAAATTTAAACTGTCACCAACAGGGAGGATAAGGGAGCCCTTGCCAAGCTGGTGGAGGCTGTCAAGACCAACTACAATGACAGATATGATGAGGTAAGATTCTCTGTGCTGCTGACCTTGGATTTTATTCTGTTAAAATTCCCAAAAGCTTCCCAGAGATACTCAGATTTTTTCAAACATAGTGACACCAGCTTATAGTCTGTTGAGTGTGTTAACACCTAGAGTTGCTTATGGTGTACCCAGATTCTTTACCCAAGGATGGGGTAAAATGTGAATGCTGTCACCAAGTTAGAAGTAAACAGTGCAATCCCAGGGCAAGGATTGTAGAAAAGGCAACAGGTTCTGCTTGGCTGAACTTCATCCCCAAGCCCAGGAGTTACTTGATGGCTGAACCCATCGTGGGGAAAAATCTTAAGCTCTTCTTTCTCTTTGCTGTACTGAAATATAGTTCAGTTGCTTGAAATGTGTAGGGCTTTGTAGTTGAGGGAGCTCTTCCCCTTGTGCAGAAAGGAGTGGAATTGTGTGAGTTTGATTGCATGAGGCCTCTAACCTGTCCTCCCTTCTTTGCAGATCCGTCGTCACTGGGGCGGGAATGTCCTGGGTCCAAAATCGGTGGCTCGCATTGCTAAGCTGGAAAAAGCAAAGGCTAAAGAGCTGGCTACTAAGCTGGGCTGAAGATGTACTGGATTGCTTTGTACATAAAGACAATAAACCCCAGCTAAGTTTCAGTGGTCTCTGTTAATGGGGGCAAGGGGTGGCACTACTGGACTTCTGTTTGCCTTCCATGAAATGACAGAACAGTGCTGTGCAGAAGTGGCTGCACAGAGCAGGTTAGTATTTCACTTGGAACAACTGCCCTTGATTACTAGTCCTGTGTAATAATTCTTCTCCCTTGAACACAAGTCACAAAGCAGAGACCTGTAGGCCTTTATTTACTCTGATGCAACGACTTTGAGCCACTCTTGACCTCAGGAATGGCTATTCAATGCAAAGAAACTTTGACTCACAAAATCCTTTGGATTTGTCTTTTGGAAAACGCAGCACTGCAGATGTTAAAATGTAGCTTACAATCAACCACAACACAAAAATGTGTCCTTGATTACTGTTTTAAGTTCAGTGCTTCCAAGCTGCAGCCAAGTCACGCTGGTGGGAGCTCAGAGTCTGCAGGGGTTGCTTAAAAGTTGATTTGCAGCTTGCTAGAGGCACATGTTTGTGGAACACTGCCCTGAAATCCTGCCTGTTTCAGCTGTTCAGGACTGATCAGGCTCCTGTCTTCCATAAAAGTCTGCTCCTGACTGTAGTACAAATAGGTTACACGTTCCCCTCACCGAGGTATCTTCTGTATAAATTTCCTGTACCACAAGAACGAGGTTGCAGCACATAAACCATACCTATGAGAGAGAATAAAGCCACACATTTGCACCTTTCCAGGGTGGACTGCACCTTTCTAGGGCAGCTACAATAACTGATTATTTCACATCACCTTGGAAATGTTACTTAGGTTAAAAATTCAGGCTTCTGTAGCTTAAAAGTTCATGCAGGCAGGACTTTACATCCCCAAGCACCCCAGGGAAGGTCAGCCAGAGTGGTCCCTTACCAGGTGATGATGTACTGCATGTGCTCGTTCCGCAGGCTCACTCTGGTCTGGCCACCAATGGGCCCCCCTGGGACGGTGCTTCCTGCAGGGATGACACAGCCAAGTTAAGTCTTCAGCCTGCACAGTGCAGAGCTGCCTTGGCTGTGAGAGAGGGGATGAAGGTTGTAAGTCTGGTGGATACCCTGCTCCTTTTCTGGGGCAGTGGTGTTCCCAAGTTTATAGAATCACAGAATGGTTTGGGTGGGAAGGGACCTTGAAGACCATCTCATTCCAGCCCCTGCCATGGGCAGGGACACCTTCCCCTATCCCAGGTTGCTCCAAACCCCATCCAACCTGGCCTTGAACACTTCCAGGGATGGGATGGGGCAGCCACAGCTTCTCTGGGCAACCTGTGCCAGGGCCTCCCCACCCTCACAGGGAAGAGTTTTTTTCCTAATATCCAATCTAACCGTGCCCTCTGTCAGTTTGAGCATTCCCCCTTGTCCTACCACTCCATGCTCTTGACTAAAGTCCCTTTCCAGCTCCCTTTCAGTCCCCCTGTGACCTTCAAAACTGGTATAGCAGAGTACAGGAAGAGAAAGATGCAATACCTTGTTGGACTTGATACTAAAAGTCTTTACAAATGATTCTATGGCTCTACCTTTCCAGGTGCCCAGGGAAAGTAACAAACTGAACAGAAAGGGAGGGAGACTGGTGGGGTTGGGTTCCTGTGTGACTTACTGAAATCTGCATCGATGAAGATGGGCTCAGCACCGGTCACCCTGGCCATGGCCTCCAGGTCCCGGTAGTGCCAGCGGTTTTGCTCGATGTTATTCTCGGGCACGAAGGGTTTGCGGGTCTCTGTTAACCTCACCACCCCCGTGAGATCGATTTCCTCTTCAATCTAAAGGAGAAGTGCAGAGAGGAAAAAAAGGAATCTTTCAAGATTCATCTCATATTCTGGCACACCGAGTCTTGCTGTTGTATCCTGGATGTGCTGTAACACAGGGGAAAAAAGCAGAACAAGAACAGCTCCTTGTTTGTAAAACACGTTATTTACTAACGAAAAGGTGGGAAACAAAGGTTTGTCTTTGAAAAGGGCAATGACTGTTTAAGTCACTTCCCATGATGGGCAGAAAGTAACACCCCACATTCCCTGGATCCCCCTTACCTGTCCCTTCAGCCTGGTCTCCGGTTTCAATTTCTTTCTGGGCACAAATCCTCGGTTGACTAAAATCGTGACCCTAGAGTTACACACAGAAGTCAGTCTCAGGACTGAAAGGAAATTTATTCCTGCAGCTGCCTAGAACCAAAGACCAAAGAAAAACAACCCACATGTTTGCTGCCATTTCTTTTTGTCATGTTAAAAGAAAATGTTAAAAGTGCACGTTAAAGGGGAATTTAAACACAATTTCAAATTGAGCCTCAGTGACCGCACAGTCTGTGAGAGAAACCTTTCAAGGGAGGGGGAGTGACTGATGTAAATCTAACCACAATTCAGCTTTTCCGAATGGAAGTGAGGTGCTCAGGTGGACCACAACTCTCCTGAACTCACCCCAGCTGTGTGCAGTAGAAGGGGGTGACGACATTGGCTCCGTTCTCCGGGTGGGATGTCAGCCGCCCGGCTTCCCGGGCTTCCCGCTCGGGGTCCACCAGCGACCGGGGCAGAATGTAGAGCTCCTTGGAGTGGTCGAAACGCCCTCGGACCTTCACAGGCCTGTACTCCAGCTCCTTCAGTTCCATGGGGCTGCATGGAACAAGAGGAGAACAAAATCATGGCTGTGACAGGCAGATTAAATTAGGGGATTTTATCATGGGATTCTCCTTTTCCCTAATGGTTCGCTCTAGAGCCAGCTGGCAAGCAGAAGACAAAGACCTCATGGAATATGCAGCTGGCTCAATATTTTGTTACTATCACAGGGAGTGATGATCAGGAGTATCCTGAGAGAAGTTCTTTTCCATGATATCTGCAACCCAGATACCACAGAGCTGATGAGCAGGTGGATTCACTACCTGTGCATCCAGCCACGGGAAGCATTTCTTTCCCATCCCAGACCATGAAATCCAAAAACTGAGACATTCTGACAGTTGTGCCAGGTGGCCAAGTGACCTTAAAAACCTCTCTCATATCTGACACAACTGCTCAACACATGGGGTAGGGCCTGCTGTTGATCCAAGACTACCTATTGTAGGAATAATTCCTTTGGGATGTCAGATACCAGCAACCACGCCCTCCTTCCCCAGGATTAGATATGATATGAACTACATCCCACATTCTCCTGAACAGAGATTCATCCTTTTCCCATGCATTTAGAATACCCCATAGGAAAGTATACGCTTATACTTTTACTAAAAATAAGAAAATTAACAGGATCTCTCTCTAATTTGCTGGTACATCCCAATTCCCATTGCAGTCCTTCATTTTCATGCAGGTTAGTTCAGCACAAGCTCATTAGTGCAGGGTCCATATCTAATATCCCCAGCACCCTGTAGATAATAAACCATCCCAGCTTCCATACTCTAATGTCAGAGGGATAGGATCTGCTGTAATTCTTGATGCCAGTTGTGCAATCAAATCTAATTTCCACTTCCGTCGCTGAACCTGAAAGTACACAAACACAAAAGTAATTCTTTAGGGTAGAACAGAGCAATGCAATAACCTCAGCAAGCCTTGAAATCTTGGTTGTAATTTTTTCATCAGACCTGGCCTAAAATAGGGTAATTGGAGACATGAAAATGGAGGCTACTGACTTTCATTTGAGAAAATATACTGAAATAAAAGTGTAAAGAACAAGAATCTCTCCTTTAAGGACTTACAAATGGACACTTGGAAAACAGAAATGTAAAACAACAGCAAATCTTTACCCTGCCTGTGATTTGGACTAAATTAAACAGCCAGAGACTGAAAAATCTGACAGCCCTCAAGTGCTCATTTGTTGAAAAAATTATATATTTATTTGTACCTGCCATGTGCCGAGACCAAAGGTGGTCAGAGGGACCAGGAGAAGGCCCCATTTCAGTAAAGCATCATCACCAGATGTGTCAGCAGCTGCTGCAGAACTCCATGGTCTGCAGAACCTCAAGCAAACATCTAGAGAAAAACAGAATGAGGAACAGGATTTATAGAGAAGAGGTGCCAGATTCCTGCAGGAAATGTCACTCTGGTATTAGGCTGAAGCAGGGCAGAAGCCCAAACAAATCTTAGGCATCATTCTTACCTTTAGTGTGCTGAACCAGCCCAGAACCTGCTTTAGTTAGGGGATATCCAAAAAACATTCTTCTGATCAAGCAAGGTGATACCTACATGGAATAAGAAAGATCCTTTGTAGCATCTCTGCTGTGTAAAAAACTTCTGTCTAGGTGGTATCAGTCACCTTCATGACTGTGTGAAATTTTGCTTCCTCATTGATTTTGAGCAACTGCCTGTGAAACACTACAGGCCAGGTTATAATT